CTAAGTGATCATATTCTAGACCTGGTACTGATAAATGGGGATCGACTGTTTAATGTTGAATTAATGCTGAGAAAATTTGGGTTTTAGTGATCACCAATGTCTTTGGTTTGATATTAAAATAAGAACTGAAAAATCATATACAGAAAAAAAAAAAAAAAGTTTTGGATTTCAAAAAGACAAATTTTGCTGAAAGGGATGAATTTCTAAAAAAGGAATTGAAAGATTGGAGTAAAAAGACAGGAATAATAAGCAATCAGTGGTCACTGTTAAAGTCTACCATCCTGGAGGCAACTAGATTATATGTCAGCCAAGTTAGTAAGAATAAAACGGAAGAAAAATACCAATATGGTTCACTAAAGAGATAAGTAGGATAGTAAAGGAAAAAAAAAATCAGCATATAGGAGATTCAAGGAAACAGGAGGTGACGCTGACAGATAATAGACAAAAAGGAGGCCAAACACATTATCAGCACTGCCAAAGCACAGAAAGAGGAGGAAATTGCTAAATCTATTAAAGGAGATAAAACCTTTTTTAGGTACATTAGTGATAGAAAGAAAAAAATACAATGGGATCACTAAAATGAAAACTGGGCACAACACTGGTGTTGAGGGAGAACTGGATGTAACAAACCACTTAAATACTTCTGTTCAAACTTCTCAGAAAAAAATTATACTAACAATAATAGGTTGGGAAGTCATTCTAGTAATGATGGATCATTTTTAGGATTTCCGGAGACAGAGGTAGCAGAGGAACTGGCTCGGTTAAAGATTAATAAAGAAATAGGTCATGATGGTATTCATCCCAGAGTTCTAACAGAACTTCAAGGTACAGTTGTTGGACCATTAACTGATTTTTTTATTCAATCTCTAACAGGAGACGTTCCCCATGACTGGCGGACAGCTAATATTGTACCTATCCACAAGAAGGGCAGCAAGGTAGAAGCTGGCAATTACAGGCCAGTGAGTCTAACATTGGTTGTAGTCAAGTTAATGGAATCACTCCTGAAAAGAAGGAGCATTGATCACTTAAAAACACACAACTTGCTGGATCCAAAGCAGCATGGCATTACTGAGGGCAGATCATGTCAGACTAATCTGACTGGATTTTTTTTTACTATATTACCAATGTTTAGGACCAGGGAGGTGCTGTGGACATAGGATATCTTGATTTCAGCAAGGCATTTGATACAGTTCCACATAATGACCCAATACAAAAATTGTACCAGCTAGGACTTAGCCCTTGAGTGTTTTAGTGGATAATCAATAAATCATAACAATAATAATAAATATGTAGCTGGCTAAAAGGATAGATACCAGAGTGTGGTTGTAAATGGAGACCAGTCACTAGTGGTGTACCACAAGGCTCTGTACTAGGTCCTGTTCTACTTAATCTATATGTAAGTGATATAACTAAAGGTTTGTTGGGTAAGGTATGTCTTTTTGCTGATGACACAAAGGTGTGCAATAAGGTGGATATCCCTGGAGGTATTTGTAACATGGAACATGATTTGGCATTGCTGGAAGATTGGTAAAATAAGTGGAAATTGCAGTTCAATGTATATAAATGTAAAATAATGCACCTAGGGAAAAAGAATCCCTTGAGAGAGTACAATATTGGGGGTACATTGTTGGCCAGCCCTTCAGAGGAAAAGGACTTGGGGGTACTTATTTCAGATGAATGCAAAATGAGCAGTGTGGCCAGGCAGTGGGGAAAGCGAATAGAATTCTAAGATGCATCACTAGAGGGGTCACCAGCAGGAGGAAGGAGGTCCTGATTCCTTTATACAGATCTTTAGTTCTGAAAGTGCTGGGGAATCAAAGAAGAGTGAAACTCTCCCTGATTTGAGTGAGGCTACGACAGACCTGGTGGATTACATGCAGAATTTCTTAGCCTAAATAAAGAAATTTAGTGTCTTGAGATCTAAGCTTGGGTGGATGCCCTGGTTGGGTGTGGGAGAAATGTAAAGGTTGGCATAAAACCCCTGAAAAACCTGTTGTGGGAATTGGGGCAATTCCTGCTTGATCCAAAAAACCTACTATAGTTGCAGAGATATCTGCTAACACAAGCAAACTGGAAGACATGAATTAGTGAGGAGGAAAAAACTCTAACTTGCACACCCTAGATACCAACTCCCATATGCAGGCATCTGAAATGCTGTCGGTCCAAGTTACCGCAAAGGTTAACAAATGTTCGTTCACTCTGAAAACACCGAAAAGGATTTGGCAACAGGGTAGGTTTTAAGCCAAAATTGTCTTTCTAAGCATGAAGTATTGGAGGTTGCTTGCAACTCTTCAAAAACGACAACATCATCCAACAATGATTTTTAAGATTTTTCATTAGATAGAGCCTCCGCACCAGAATACCAACAAGCCACTAAAGTCACAGGCAGATCAGTTAAAGGTTCGTCAGAGTCCGCATACAAGGTTGCAATTTGGCACATGAAATGTGGCCTGTGGTGAAATCCTACTGGAATAGGACTGAGGAGTAGGCAATGCTTGATGGAGGTAAAGAAGGACTCCAAGGACAAAGTTCCAGGCCTTCAGAGAAGCATTGCAGGCTGTCCTGGAACTATTAGTGATTGTGAACTGGAGGGACTTTGTGCAGTGGAACTGATCCCCATGTGTCTGGGATTGGACATGTGAGACTGCATGGTGGGGACAACTTAGCTCAGGATAATCGGTAAAGCCTTGGTGCTCACAAAACAGCTTCTGGAAGCAGGAAAGGCACGACTAATAATTCCTAGAAAAAAATAGGCTAAACTATTTTTAGTAGCGAAAAGGTGGAGGTATTCTGGGAGTGGGTCACTAGTTTTTTTTTTGTTTTCCGGTGTCAAAAATAATCCAACTCTGCGTGATTCCAACCAAAAGGACCCACATCTTCCAATGCCTTCCATCATATTACAGGCCTGTTCGTGTAATCTACAGTGGATATAAAAAGTCTACACACCCCTGTTAAAATGTCAGGTTTCTGTGAAAAAATTAGACAAAGATAATTAATTTCAGAACTTTTTCCACCTTTAATGTAACCTATAAAAACTGTACAACTCAGCCCTCTTCAGATCACCCCACAGATTTTCGATCGGATTCAGGTCTGGGCTCAGGCTGGGTCATTCCAAAAGTTTAATCTTCTTCTGGTGAAGCTATTCCTTTGTTGATTTGGATGTATGCTTTGAGTTGTTGTCATGCTGCAAGATGAACTTCATCTTCATGTTCAGCTTTCTAGCAGAAGCCTGAAGGTTTTGTGCCAATATTGACTGGTATTTGGAACGGTTTATAATTCCCTCTACCTTGACTAAGGCCCCAGTTCCAGCTGAAGAAAAACAGCCCCAAAGCATGATGCTGCCACCACCATGCTTCACTGTAGGTATGGGGTTCTTTTGGTGATGTGCAGTGTTGTTTTTTAGCGCCAAACATATCTTTTGGAATTATGACCAAAAAGTTCAACCTTGGTTTCATCAGACCACAATATATTTTCCCACATGCTTTTGGGAGACTTCAGATGTGTTTTTGCAATACTTAGCCGGGCTTGGATGTTTTTCTGCGTAAGAAAAGGCTTACGTCTTGCCACTCCAATAGCCCAGACATATGAAGAATACTGGAGATTGTTGTCACATGTAACACACAGCCAATATTTGCCAGATATTCTGCAGCTCCTTTAATGTTGCTGTAGGCCTCTTGGCAGCCTCCCAGATCAGTTTTCTTATCGTCTTTTCATCAATTGTGGAGGGTCGTCCAGTTCTTGGTAATCTCACTGTTGCGCCATATTTTCTCCACTTGATGATAACGGTCTTCACTGCGTTCCACAGTATATCTAATGCCTTGGAAATTCTTTTGTACCCTTCTCCTGACAGATACCTTTTAACAATGAGAACCCTATGATGCTTTAAAAGCTCTCTGCGGACCATGGTTTTTGCTGTAGGATGCGACTAAGAAAATGTCAGGAAAGACCTACTAGAACAGTTTAACTTTATTTGGGGTTAATCCGAGGCACTTTAAATGATAGCAGGTGTGTACTAACTCCTATTTAACATGATTTTAAATGTGATTGCTTAATTCTGAACACAGCTACATCCCCAGTTATGAGGGTGTGCACACTTATCGAACCACATTATTTAAGTTTTGTTATGTTTACCCCACCCCCCCCAAAGATTCAGTTTGTTTTTCAATTAAGTTGTACAGTTTATAGGTCACATTAAAAGGTGGAAAAAAATTCTAAAATTATTTATCTTTGTCTCATTTTTTTTACATCACAGAAACCTGACATTTTAACAGGGATGTGTAGACATAACCGTCATCAATAACCTTACATTTCTTATAATTGCATCATAAACTGATACTCTAACAATTTGATAGGTGACCAATAATCCAATAGAAAAACAGATACTGCAGACTGCTTTGTCCATGTAACCAGAATGAATAGGTTACTTTGCTTAGAATCATCAGAGGAATTCTTATGAATTTTTATATATATATATATATATATATATATATATATATATATAAATAAAACTTATGAATAAACCCTTAAATTGTGTATAAATTAGATCACTCCAAAAACACCATCAGATTAAATCATTGTGCCTATGTACTTAGAAGTATGATAGCAAAATACACTAGAATGGGTGCTGCTACTATATATCCACTGTAACTTATAATCAAATTGTGATAAATAAATGTACCACAAATAATAGCGCAACCCTTGTATCAAAATAAGTATAAATAAATGTAAATAAATAAAAAATTATTATTATTATTATTATTAATCCACCACCATAAATGTGCAAAAATATTCAATACATAAAAATCTAATGAATCCTCATGAAGTCCATTAAAAAAACTCCATATATTATCAAATATGATCCTCAATAAATGAAGTCATGAAATTTTCCTTCACCAATGTGATATCCAGTGCTTTAACACCCCATCAAAATACACACTCACCAAAAGCTGGTGATATACCAGCATATCTGTATATATCCAGCTGGAAGAACCTATCCTCACCTGCTTCTCTTGTCCTGGCCTTTTCGTCGACGGGCCCTCATCTTTGCTCTGAAAAATTCATAAAGGCCATTCTGCTCCCACCCTTCACTGCACATGTGAAAAAACACAAGGATTCAGTCAAGCTGAATGAAACAACCTCAAGGAGATACATTGCAGAAAAAATTAAATTTTTACAACCACTTCCACAGGAACAGCTAAACAGCCTTGCATATTATCCAAGGCTCCCACTTTGTTACTGAAAACCACAGTATGCAAACAGAAGTGTAAACAAGAACTATAATTGTTTCTGATCAATTGCATTGGATTTTTTTTAGGTGTAAGTTTATAAACTGTTTAAAGTCACTCACAATAAACATTAATACAGGGTGAAGCAATGACAATGATTTTATAGATCATTCTTGGCTACCAGGCCCAGCACTGGTAGCTTAATTTCTGTATTCCCTATCACCATCAATTTGGTTTGTTCATACATGGAAATCACACAGCATCTCATTCTGTGAAAAGAGGAAGAACCATTGAATGGGATCTCTTCCACTCATTTAGAGAATGCGATAGATGTGTGTAGTATTGAGTTCTGTACATGGCTGAGAGGGCAGAAAGTGGTAGCCGAGTGGTGCAACTTCCCTCTGTAGCAGCTGCTAGAAGAAAGACACCTGTGAAGGAGACACTGCAGGGATGATTTTTAGAAGCACATACCTAATGTGTTTAATGCTGTATCCCCCAAAAAATGTATACAGTGCATTCCTATAGTATTTAGACCCCCTTCACTTTTTTCTATTTAGTTATGTTGCAGCCCGATATTACAATTGTTTAAATTATTTTTTTTTTCTCTCTAACCTACACTCAGTACCCCATAATGACAAATCGGTGGAGGGCTGCAGAGATGGTTGTCCTTCTGGAATTTTGTCCCATCTTCACACGGGATCTCTGGAGCTCAGTCGGCTCATTGGGTTCTTGCTCACTTCTCTTACTAAGGCCTTTCTTCCTTGATCCTCATGATAGTGCTGACCAATCCAAAGCCATCTATCCCAAACGGTCTTCCCTGCACTTATATTAGTAAAAGCTGGGGATTTTAAATCCCTATGGCTTTCTCTCCTCTAACAGCATAGGATTGGTGCAGGGACGTTTCCTACACCGCTCCTGTGTGAACTCAGGCTATGACAAGCGGGGGGGAAACCGCATGCAATTTGGACAGGATTGCACCACATTCCTGTTCAAATCGCAAGCTATTCTTTGCGGTGCAATTTGCGTCCATATATTTCATACTGATACAAATCGTCCGTAAAGTATAGGTTTTCAGGAATCTGGAGTATTTTCACGAAAACTCATGAAACTACTCTGTACCAGTGCATACCTAATGAATACCTTATAAATGCTCTGTATATACTAAACTTCAGCTTAGCATCTGAATGGTCTGGTTTTTTTTTGCTTACAAAGAAACCTGTAAAAGTGTTTATGTACTTACTGCTGATTGTGCCTTGACTCAAAAATCCTTACAGTGTCAGGCATCTATGGTTTTCAGAAGGTGCTTAGTATTTGCAACTTCCACGTTTCTCTCAGTGAAGGTTTTTCTTTATGCACTTCTATTATTTCACATAGCTCACAGGCTCTCAGAAACCTGTTGGCTCTACACTGCTTAATGTCACTGTCGGTGGGTAGAAAATCAATCCCTTATACCAGTCAAACACATTCATGCCAAAAGCATTGCAAGAAATCTCAAGTTTCCTGGAAGTTTCCTGTGTCTTACACTTCATTACGATTTTTAAAAACCCTTTTCAAAAATGAATGCAACAGGTAGATTTAATAATGTTCAGTAAAGTTTAATGTCTTGTGAAATAATTCAATTTACTAAAGGTATGGCAGAAAAGATGAATTCTGATACCTCAGCAAGTTGCTGCACTTAACCTGCCTTAGCAAATAAAGAAGCATATGAAACATCCTATATTTTAGCATAACGTAAAATGGTTATTTTATTAGTACTGCTTGGCGCAATGTTACAAGTTACACCCTAGTTAAGGATGTTTCATGGTCTTAAAAGATAGATGGTCTTTTAAGTTTTAAAAGGTCATCTCGAGTACATAGTTGAACTTTAGAGCTAAAACTGACCTGTTCCGGGGTCTATCATGTGATGGAGGGCTATAAAACGCCTCAACAGCAGCCAAAAGTCTTTCACTAGGTGGCATTGGAGGAGGGAGGCGGATATCTTTGGGGTCAAGAGGTTTGTACTCATGATCTTCCAGCTGCATATAACAAAGATATTAGTAATACGCACACAGTAATTTTATCACATAACAAAGGAAACAGACACACAAAACAAATGCAATTTAAAATGTTCCCACAAGTCAGCATTATTTCAGTTTTCCAGGTTATCATTTGGTCCCCTAAGCAATCTAATATTACATATACTGTAGTTGGATGCAAAAACTGTACTGTACCGAGGAGCAAACTAGTTTTTCAAAGACTAGGATACAGGTTTAAGTAAGAAACATCTTCTGAAGTCACTAAACACAATAAGTTAATGTTATCTAAATTCATTTAACTGGAGAGACAGGTTGTAAATATAGCTGATTAACTACAGCTGTTTTTCCTCAAACTTTGCTTAGTTATGCACCTCCATGACATGAAGGTGCCACAAGAACTACTAAGAATGACGATCTATCCATTAACCCCCCAGCATTAAATTAGAACTCGGTATTTCCAAACTGTCCAGTGGAACAAAAGCATCTTTTTAAAAACAAATATTCACCACGCTGTCTGTGGGTATCCATACCTGGTCCTGGAGTATACACAAACAGGGCAGTTATGCACAAAAACCCTGACCCCAGCAGGGCCCCACTTGTGGTACTCAAGTAGCCAAGTGGTACTGAAAAGACTGAAGTAGTCAAGTGGTTCTTAAAAGACAAAGCCAAAAAAAAAGTTTCAGATGTCTTTTATCAAGATAAGCCACTATCTGTCTGAAGGGCAGCATGTTAGCTTGGGGGACAGTTAGGCTGTGCCTATTCTACTCCAATGTGAATTAAACCACTGAATGAGTATACAGTTCAGAACTTGGAGATGACAACTGCCATCAGAAGGTCATGAGCCATGTGTTTAGGTTGCTGACAAATTCCCTCTAAATCCATCTGATCCACATTTTAACATAGAATCTGCAAAATGTTTTTAACAACAGTTGCGTCTGTGAGCATACCACAAGCAAATAGTACCTACTTTAACCAATGGCGCCATAAGCCCTGCAGGGAGGTCAAAGTAAGGAACATTCGGAACAAGACTGGGGTCATCATGGTTGACGTGTGGAGGCCCTTGTCTACGCATATGAGGTGGCTGACCATTAAACCCATGTGGTGGAGGGCCGAAATCTTGGTGTTGAGGACCTCCCCAAGGCGGATGTTCATTCATGCCAGGATGTGGCATTCTGTGGCCTTGGTGATGGTGTGGTGGTCCCATATCTAATGTGAGGAGAAGAAAATAACCGGGGATAATCAAAAAACATTATAAATGAAAGTAGTTTACAATTTACCAGCATGCTGCATACAATGATATCTCTCAAAGTCTAAAAATACACCTTTAGCCAGTTCAGCCCTTGTACCTGTATATCCCCTATGGACGAGAGCAATTTTTAAATTTCCACTATGGGTCTGTTGATTTGGTGGCTGGCTTTCTTGCCAATATTGTTTTGCAAAGAATATTTTATTTTCAACGGAATCTATAGCCAGATGAATTTCCTAATATATTTTTCAGTTTTGAGGTGTTAAAAAATGAATTTTACTTTAAAATATACAGTAAACATTGTATCTATAATTTTGAATATTCTTGTTAAGCAACAGCGAAAGCATTTGGATACTTGCAAACAGACAGTGCAAGCTTGGTAAAACCCTCCTTCTGCCAGCATGCCATAGTTTGGTGGAAAAGCAGTTCCAATAGCAAGGCAATGGCAAGGGTGGGATCTGTTCCCTCAATGAACATCACAAAATGGATTTCATGGTACGTACAAAAATCCCATTTTCTTTAGTGTTCATTGAGAAAATTGATGGGTGGGAAATAGCAACAAAATACTAACAGGCGAACAAAAATAATCAACACAACTGGGGACTGCCTGCAGGTCAAAGGACCATTTGAAGGACCTGATACCCAAAACTGGCAACAGAAGAGGCCTTGATATCCACCAATAAAACTTGGAGAACATGCGTACATAAGACCAGGTGGCAATTTTGTAAATCTGAAAAGCAACCGCTTAACGCAAAAAAAGCCCAAGAAGCAAACTTAGACCTAGCAGAGTGCACATTGACAGAAAAGGAGTGGAACTTGATCCTTATACCGGTTGTAAAGGCAAATCTTTTTTTACCTTAATGCATTCTATGCATTAAAGTAAAAGAAAAAATTACAGTTGTCTCCCCACCCTTTCCCTAAATACATAACGGAGTCCAACATCAGTCCATGTGTTATTGTAGACCTCTTTGGAAGTTGTCTTCCAAGCTTTTAGCATTGTGTAAATCACCAATTCAGTGATGCCTCTGTCCCTCAGGACATGTTATTAAGGCCAACGATCGTGAAGCAGGATAGTAAACTGGTCCCCAGGACAGATGATCCAGACGAGTAGAAGAGTCTGATTAGTGCAGCACAGTGGCTCATTGGTTAGCACACTTGCCTAGAGTCATCAGATGGAATCCTGGCCAGGACACTATTTGCATGAAGTCTGCATGGACTCCTTGTACCCATTTCCTCTGTGAGAGACATGCTGGTAGCTGATCCCACAGAGCCACAAGAGCATCCACTGCTGACTTAAGATTCCTGTACCTGGTGACAAATCGGTCTATTCTGTGGTTAACCTAAATGTTCAAATCTGGCATCCCCTACTCTGGTGTTGGCCTGTCTAAGGACTGTACCAACTTTTTCCATAATGACAGGATACTGTGTTGACTAGGACTGCCTCTGAGGCCAACATCAGCTCCATAACTCTTATGCAAAAGTGAAGAGTTGGGCAATTCCTGGACCGAAAAGTGTGGAGCGAAGTGTTAGAAGATTCCGCGGAGGAAGAAAAAAAAATCTGGTTTCAGCAGTGTTTAGAATTAGATTTCAACGCTGAGTGAAAAGAAACCATAGAGTGCACAGCACTCTACCCAGTAGATGGCAACAGTGCTGTTTTATGATACACCAACTGCAAATGGTGCACGAATGGTGCTAATAATGAAATGGGCTCCAGGCATTTGGTCTATACAGCCTTCTCACAAAGTTAGTTTTCAGAGATATGGTCATACCTGGGGCTGTGCCACAGCTTTCAACCCAAAATCATTTTATGGCAAATACACAGTACAGACAGGTTTGGAAAATGCTACAAGAGCCCAGTGTCTGAAAGTCACATTTCAGGCTAGCCCCGCAATTCTCCAGTCCAGCAGGTTCCAGGTTCAGCCTCCAAAGCAAATACTGAGGAAATACCGATCCCAATATTACAAAGAGACCAGCTAAAAGAAAAACAGAACCTGGAAAATAAGTCCATCCTTCTAAACACTAAAAAAAAACACCTTGACATGCTGGGAGTAGGAGGGGTTAAACCAAGCCAGCATTGTTTTTTTTTGTGTGCCCAATACAGTGCTAGTATAACCTACAAGTCTATGAATCCCAGTGTTTTATAATGAATGCTAAAGGAAAATAAATATTGATGGTAAAAACGAAAAAGAAAATAGCAGAAAAAGAATCGCTAATGGGAGAAAAAATTCAAGCATATCACCCCCAATCCCTGGAGCCATAGTGGTCACCTTTTGGATTAAAACAAGGATATTGTGGACTGAGGAGGCTGACAGGGTTGTGCAGGTTATGCTATGCGCACTACTTATATACTTTTTATATATTAAGGGTTAAAAGGGGGTTAAACAGGAATATATGTTAATAAAAACAATGCAACTTGTAAGGTTTCTTTAACTAATTGCCGCCCACCCACTGCGAGTGGGTGGCAGCTCCAGGCCGGGTGATCTACCTGTAGGTTGCGATATTTCTTCCAGGTTTGGGGTGCGTGCATAACTGGACACAGTTTGACTTTGGCTGCCGATTTCAGCCAATAATTTTGGCTTAAGTAAGCCGATCAGCAGTGTCCAATCACACACACAGTTCTGCGTTTACAAAACACAGAACTCCGTGTACAAAAGAACAGCGATCTGGCTTTTATGTTCTCCCTGAAAAAGCAGGGAGAATAAACAGTCATACAGTAAAGTAAAAGCAGCACATATAACACACATTACACATTGTTAGGCACAAAGTTAACACTTTGATTGTTCCTAGACTTTAACCCCTTCACAGCCAGTGTCATTAGTATAGTGACAGGGTACAGTATTAGCACTGATCACTGTACTAGTGTCACTACTGGTGCCAGTCAGTTAGTGTACCTCCCAGCCAGCATCAGATAGCGCCAGATTACCCAGCACACTATAAGTCGCTGATCACTGCCAGTACTAGTATAGTGTCATACCAACTAATGTCAGAATACATCTTGCCCTAAATCTATAAGGAAATTAATTTTTTTTTTATTTGCTATGTTTTATAACTGAAAAAGAAAAATTGTTTTTTCCCCCAAAATTGTTGTTATATCACAAAAACAAAAAAAAAAAAAAAACACAAAGTGGTGATCAAACACCACTGAATGAAAGCTCTATTTGTGTGAAAAAATAATTATAAAATATTCCTTTGTGTACAGCATTGCATGACTGCGAAATTGCCAGTTAAAGTAGAGCAGTGCTGAAAAGCAAAAGATGCTCTGGTCATGAAGGGGGTAAAAACTTCCAGCGCTCAAGTGGTTAAAACATTAGTTCACCTTTTCAGAAGTGAAAACGTGAACTGGCACCGCCCTCACTACCTTCACAATCCTCTGTGCATATGTCAGCGCTGACCAAAGAATCCTCACCACTGCAAACAATATGCTGCTACAAGCCTCCAACAGGGATCATTTCAAAGTGCCCAGAGAGGCATTGGAAGATGGGGACCATATTAGGTACATAATCAGGGACTGGAGGGATGGGAAGAGTGTTGTGGGCTAGTTCACCTTTCATTTTTGTCAACTACTTTAACAGGAAAGTAAGGGTAAGACTATGAAAATGGAGACAGTACAATATCTGATATATTTTGATGAATTGGATTGAGCTTTAAAACTATATGTGTGTTTAGGTCACCAAACAATAAAAGACTTTAGGCATCACTGTAGTAAAAACACCACATGACAAATACATTTTTGTCACAATTAAAGTTAAAAATGACTGACTTTAACCCCTTTGTGACAGAGTAAATCAAACAAACTGTACATATCATTGTAACTACTTGTGTATCCAGGTGGATTATAGCTTGTTTTGTTCATGGCAAACAGGGTTTTATTTTGGTGGTAAATGGTAACGGATATCTCATTTTCTTTTTATTATCAAAGGATAACTGGCCCAAAATTTTACAAAAATAATTTTTTTTTTAAATTAGCTTCCTATTATCACCACAAAACAAACCAAAATAAAATGATGCTGCTCGACGATTGCAGCGATACCACTTTATTTATGGTTTGTACCTGCAGTAGGGCCCAGAAATAATAGTGAGCATTTTGCTTTAAAAAAAAAAAAAAAACAAAAAAAAAAACACATCCTGACAACACTAAACCTGGCGCTGACCTTGATCTAGCTTTCTTTAACCACTTGCCCTCCTGAGGATTTAACCCCCTTCCTGACCAGGCCATTTTTTGCATTATGGAGCTGCATTACTTTAACTGACAATTGTGCAGTCATGCAACGCTGCCCCCAAATTAAAATTTACGTCCTTTTTTCCCGAAAATTGAGTGGTATTTGATCACCTGTGCAGTTTTTATTTTATGAACTACAAATACAAAAAAAAAAAAAAAAAAAACGGCCAACAATTTTGAAAAAAAATAATATTTTTGACTTTTTGCTATTAAACATGTCCAGTAAAAAAATTTTAATAAATCAAATTTCTTCATAAATATTTAAGTCAAAATGAATTCTCAGGGATGTTGAATTTGTATCACCCGGAACACGTAGTTCCAGGCGTCGAGCAGGTAGCATTTTTCAACCTTTAGCCTTGCTGAAGGTAAGCAGCAGGGCTCACCTGTCAGGTGAAAGCATTCGGATGGCAGCGCTGTCGCCCGTTTGCTTTCATACAGTCCACCATGGTACCAGCCTCCGCCCCCCTACCGCATGTGAATCTCCCCCCGCTTGCCAAGTCTCCTGGGCTCCGCTTGCCCATCTGTGGGCCCGTGACTGGCTCAGTGTGCGCTGGCGGCTAGAGGGGAGGGATGAGAATGAACACGTCTGCTCCCCTCTTCTTCTTGTCCTGACGCGGAAGTGACGTTTGACAACACTTCTGGGTCCCCATTCACAGACTTCCCGGCCATTGAGGCTGGGAAAGAATGTGATGCAGTGTGATGTGCACTGCATTACATTCAGGGGAGCACAGGGAAGACATGCAGGGTCTTTTAGACCCTGGACGTCTCATTAAAGAGAACCTGTCACCAAAAATCATCACGTAGTGAAGTAGAAAAGAAAAATTTTATAAAAAAAAATCAAAGTTGCACCCAAGTACATAACATCGTCTCAAAAAAAAAAAAAAAAAAAGTAAAAGCACGCGCCTCCGCAAGAAAATATTCACTGCGATACACGTTACATATCGCCGAGCGAATGAGAGCATTAATTCTACCACCTACTAAGACCTCTTCTGTAACACTATACTGATGACCTATAAGAGGCTTTAAAAGCGTCGCCTATAAAAAATATAGGGTACTGAAGTTTGTTGCCATTTCATGAGCGCACGCAAATTTAAAGGTTTGCCATGTTGGATATCTATTTACTCAGTGGAACCTCACCTTTTATATTTTACAAAAAAATAGGGTAATTTATTGCTTATTTGTGCCCAAATTAATGTGTGCAAAAAATGCAAAAATGGCTCTGGCAGCAAGAGGGATAAAGGAGAAGGCTGACACTCCCCTTTCCTGACAAGCACCCAATCGGTGCTCATCACACGGGAAGGTCTCTCTCCTCCCTGCTAATCCCCGCCTGAGGTGCTGGAGAGAGGCAGGGAAGGGAGGAGGAGGAGATATACAGCGCAATGTTAAAAAGATTAAACGTTTAAGTTGCCATAGAGCCTCTTTTGATTTTAACCACTTCCAGACCGGACACTTTTACCCCCCTTCTGACCAGGGCAATTTTCAGCTTTCAGCACTATCACACTTTGAATGACAATTGCGCGGTCATGCAACACTGTACCCAAATAATTTTTTTACCATTTTTTCGAGAAAGATAAAGCTTTATTTTGGTGGTATTTATTCACCGCTGGGATTTTTATTTTTTTTGCTATGTAAATTAAAAAGTTCAAAAATTTTGAAAAAAGTGTTTTTTTTTTATAAAATTTTGCAAATAAATAATATTTCATCATAAATCTTGGCCAAAATTTATTCTGTTATCTCTTTAGTAAAAAAAAAAAAAAATCCAAATTAGTTTATAACCAAAAATTATAATTTTTAAACATTTTTTTTTACATTTTTTTTTTTTTTATATATATATATATATATATATATATATATATATATATATATATATATATATATATATTTTTTTTTTTTTTTTTACATACTGTCACCCTAGCAGTACAGTGTCACCATGGTGACACTGTACTACTTGTGGGGGTTTGATTTTTTTTTTTTTTTTTTTTTTTTACACTGATTGCTTTTACACCCATATAGGATGTAAAAGCAATCATTTCTCTTTCTCTCTGTCTGCATTCTTGCACTCATTGAGAAGTACTGAGTGAGCTGTGATTGGTCACAGCTTGTCACATTGTACAAGGCTGTTGTGAATCGCCTTGTACCATGTGACCTCTGTGATCATTCACAGATTTCACACGTAGTAAGCAATGATGTCACAAGTGACATCTTGCTTACTACTTTGCATGTGATCACTGATTGGCCAATCAGTGATCACATGATCGGGACCTCGCACAGAGGTCCCATCCGACAATCGGTGTTTCACTGTGTCCAGAGGACACAGCGGGCACCGGATCACGGTGCTGCACGCTTCCAGGGAGCGCGCACAAGCAGGGTGCGGGGAGGATGTTTATAAACGGCCACCCGACCTTGCACTGCCACCGTTCTGGCCGTTTATATGCAACGGCCGGTCGAGAAGTGGTTAAAAGTCCCAGACATTTCTAACAGCACCTCAGATTTAAATACGGTTTGGTTTAAAATGTATTTTTTGTTAATCTGGATAAGTAGATTGTCATGTGGGACAAGTAGATTGGAACCCAGATTTAGCCCCTGGACGAGTAGTTTTTTTAAAAAATTTCTACACCCCCAATTCTGCTATGTCTTTGCTGACAAAAAAAAAAAAAAAAATCCCAATACGTGTAAATTAATTGGATTACATGAACGTTATAGCGTTTACAAATGGCAGTATAGATACTGGAATTCTTTTTTTTTTTTTTTTACTAGTAATGGCGATCAGAGACTAATAGTGGGACTGTGGCAAGAATTCTGACACTGGGGGGGGGAACTGACCTGGTGTCACTGACATCCCCATTGACACCAACAGTGATCAGTGCTAAAAAAAAAAAAAAAGCAGTGACACTGTACTAATGGCACTGAGTAGGAAGGGGTCAACAAGAGGGGCGGGCAAACATTAGTTATGTGCAGGGAATGTTTTACATAGAGGGCAGTGTGTGGGCTTCACTGTAAGCAAACTGCTCTGGATGACTGTGACAGCCATCCAGAGCAGTATGGCCGAGCTGACAGGGAGGAGGACTGTTAGTAAACAAAGCAGCCCTCCTCCCCGTCAGAGATGCTCGGTAATCACCAGTCGGAATTCGGTGATTGACAGCTGGCGGAGTGGGTGGGACGCGCCTCATGTTACAACCAAAAATATAAATGGTTTTTATTTTTATAAAGTGGCACATCATTGTGAAGTGGAAGGAAAATGATAAATGGTTTTCAAAATTTTTTACAAATAAATATCTGAAAAGTGTGCCGTGCATTTGTATTCAGCCTTTACTCTGACACCCCTAACATCTAGTGGAACCAATTGTCTTTAGAAGTCAGCTAATTAGTCAATAGAGTCTACATGTGTGTAATGTAATCCCAGTATAAATGCAGCTGTTCTGTGAAGCCCTAAGAGGTTTGTTAGAGAACATTAGTGAACAAACAGCATCATGAAGGCCAAGGAACACACCAGACAGGTCAGGGATAAAGTTGTGGAGCAGTTTAAAGAAGGGTTAGGTTATAAGAAAACATCACAAGCTTTGAACATCTCATGAAGCACTGTTCAATCCATCATCCGAAAATGGAAAGAGTATGGCATAACTGCAAATTTAGCAAAACATAGCCATCCACCTAAACTGATAGGCCAAGCAAGGAGAGCATTAATCAGAGAAGCAGCCAAGAGGCCTAAGGTAACTCTGAAGGAGCTGCAGAGATTGACAGCTCAGGTGGGAGAATCTGTCCACAAGACAACTATTACACAAAGCTGGTCTTTATGGAAGAGTGGCAAGAAGAAAGCCATAAGAAGTTCTGTTTGCAGTTTGCGATGTAAGGGACACAGCAAACATGTGGAAGCAGGTGCTCTGGTCAGATTAAGCCAAAACTTAATTTTTTGGCCTAAAAGAAAACCACCATGTGTGGCGGAAAACGAACACCGTACATCACCCTGAACACACCATCCCCACCATGAAACATGGTGGTGGCAGCATCATGTTGTGGAGATGCTTCTTCAGCAGGGACAGGGAAGTTGGTCAGAGTTGATGGGAAGATGGATGGAGCCAAATACAGGACAATCTTAGAAGAAGAAAACCTATTAGAGTCTGCAAAAGACTTGGGACTGGGGCAGAGGTGCATCTTTCAGCAGGACAACAATCCTACACGTACAGCCATAGCTAAAATGGAAAGGTTTAGATCAAAGCACATTTATGTGTTAGAATGGCCCAGTCAAAATCCAGACCTAAATCCAATTGAGAATCTGTGGCAAGACTTGAAAATTGCTGTTCATCCAATCTGGCAGAGCTTGAGCTATTTTGCAAAGAATGGGCAAAAATTTCACTTCCTACGTGTGAAAAGCTGGTAGAGACATCCCCACAAAGACTTGCTGCTGTAATTGCAGCGAAAGGGGGTCCTTCTATTGACTCAGGGAGGATGAATACAAATGCATGCACACTTTTCACAGATTTAGTTGTAAAAAAATTTTGAAAACCATTTATCATTTTCCTTCCAATTCACAATTACGTGGCACTTTGTGTTGGTCTAATCACATAAAATCCCAATAAAATACATTTATGTTTTTGGTTGTAACATGACAAAATGTGGAAAATTTCAAGGGGTATGAATATGTTTTCAAGGCATTGTATGCATACAGTTGGCATGAAAGGGTTAATGAACAGGGAAGGAAGTATTTCAGCTCTCATTTTGGAAATGAAGTGCACAAGTTGAGAGAATTAATGCTTAGTACGCTTAAGGGCCTGTTCACATCATAGCACTACAGTAACGCACATTTTTGTGATGCAGTGGCATTTATTCTGAATGGCATCCCAATGACCTTGTTGGACAGGTGTTACAGCACACTGCCAAAAATGTTACATGCCCTTTTTTTGGTGTTAGACAGCTCATTCAAATGAACGTGCTCTGCCATAATGCAACACAAGTGCAGTGAGGCAGCACAGCAGTGTGAATGAGCCCTTAGAGAAATGTTTCTAAAGACTGTAACCTGAAAGCAAATAGAGAATATGCCACATCATGCACTCTTTGCCCATGAATATTTATTAAAGTACATGTATAGCCAAAACCTTTTTTTTTTTTTTTTTTGTGGCTGTGCACTATAATGGAAATTTACCTTCAATTTCTTTCTGAGAGCTATAATGGGAAGTTAGAGAAAATCTCCCAAAGTGAAGGGAATTCAGCTTCCCTGAAACATGTCCCCCCATTAGAAGACCTTCCTCCTTTCATCTCCAGCTGAGGACAGCTAAGATTTTGGATTTTCCTTCCCTTTCTTTCTCATTGACAGTGGTTGGTGATGAGAGGAGATTTCTCTCAGCAAGGACACAAGACAGCAACTATTTTTGGCGCGATTCTGTTAAAGAAATTCAGTTGTCTGTATAGGCTGCTACAGAATTGACTGCAGAACAAACCCATTGGTCTGAATTTATCAAACTGTCTCTGCTGTCACAGTCCTTCCACAAACTCAAGCAGCAACAAAATAGGAACAACATTGTCAATAATTACCTGAAGGGAAGTCTCCTTGGGGATAATCAAATCGGTGAGGAAAAGGTGGTCGCTCAAAGGGATGGCGTGGGGGAAAGTCATCCTGCATAAACCGTGGAGGAAATCGATTGAAGTTGTGGGGGTGGGGTGGTTGGTTGAATTGAGGTGGATGTTGTTGATGAGGGGGAAAAGGCCCTCGAAAATGTGGAGGACGCTGCATGCGAAAATGAGGATCTCTCTGAGTACCACCCCACGGAGGCTGATCATGCTGATTACTCCAAGGAGCATCAAACTGGTTATTCCATGGAGGTTCCCTCTGGTTGTTCCATGCTGGTTCTGGCTCATTGTTCCAGTTAGGATCACGATCACTCCACATACCTTCATGGCTATTATTCCATGGAGGACAGTGTGGTGGGGGTGCCTGGTGATGAGGAAAAGGGGGCTGTTCACAGGGCTGCTGAATGAAGAAAAGCAAAAATGGAATTAATAAGGAATAGCTTGAACAAGTACATTTCTATGTAGAATATCAAAAGATTACACAAAAAAGGGTACTAATTTAGGACAGCTAAGCATAATTTTAGGAAACACTCTAAGAAAATTAAAGAAATAGTTCAAATGAGACTGAAAAGCTTGTGCTTACCTGCTGCTGTCCCCAGGGTGCCATAGGCTGGGGCTGCTCAAACCAAGGTGGTTTGTTAGGAGGCATCTGTTCATGAGGAGCTGGACCTCTAGTTGCAGCTGTGGCAGGATCTGGCACGCTTCCAGGAGGGGGCTCAAATTCTGCCGGAGTGGGGATAGCAAGAGCAGGTTTCACTTCCTCTGTGGTGAAAAGACAGCATTAAAATGAAGAAAACGTGGAGTTGCATACTGTAAATAAAGAAAAAGGAAAAACAAAAGAAGAGTTTGCTACCTGGTGGGGGCACTTGAGCTGGTACAGGGGCAGGAGCAGGCACTGGAGGCTCTGGAATTTGTTCTATCACTGGAATCTGGATCTGCTGTTGTTGCTGCTGCTGTTGTTGCTGCTGCTGCTGTTGTTGTTGTTGTTGTTGTTGTTGCTGCTGCTGCTGTTGTTGCTGCTGCTGTTGTTGTTGCTGCTGCTGCTGCTGCTGCTGCTGTTGTTGCTGCTGTTGTTGCTGCTGCTGTTGTTGTTGCTGCTGTTTTACGCTAGCCACAAATTCTTCATGTTGTGTTTTCAGGGTTTGGATTTGTTGCTGGAATGCCATAAGAATCGGTTGCACCACAGTGGAGTGCTCACCCAGTAAAGCAGCCTAAATAAATATATAAAACAAGATAATGTAATGGCCACTAGACAACAGTGACATTACCAGGAGTTGACAATTGATTTAAATGATTGCGAAAGGTTGAATACACAATTTTAAACATGAAAACTCAAAGCAGGACTATTACAGGCCATAGACAGGCCGTTTATCGTCCGATAAACGAAAAATCGGTCGTTGCTGTCATGGATGCTGCCACCAATGCTCACGAAAAAACGACCAATTTTCATGGATTTTCCAGCATGAGCGATAAAAAGAAACGAGAAGAAGATCCACGAAAACCGGCCCACGGCATTGCCCCACTAACAGCGTGAATATCGGCCGATTTTTTCGTGCGGAGAAGAAGATCCACGAAAACCGGCCCACGGCATTGCCCCACTAACAGCGTGAATATCGGCCGATTTTTTCGTCGTGCGGACGAAAATTCGGCCGATAAACGACCAGTCTATGGCCTGCATAAGATATACTGTAAGCAGGCAGTGTATTGCAGAAGAGATATGCAATGTCTCTTTCATGATAAAACACACCTATTTGCCTGCTTACAGCAATCTCCAGACAGTAAACTGAGCTGTGCACGCATGTCAAACTATAAAGTCTCCTTGATGGAGTGCTTATGTTTAATTTTTTGTTGAAAAAAAAAAAAAAAATTAAAAGAAAATTGTAAGACAATATACACAAAAGAAAGCCTAGTTTGTTATCTTAGGCAACACTGCAATCAATGGGCACATAAAAAAAATATTAAAAAATTGGTCTGGTCTATAGGTGGTATACAGGTGTGCGAGCTGAAGCGGTTATAGGATAAAGTTCACCTTTTAGTAAAAAATAATAATAAAATGCACATTTTTTTGCAGGTGAAAAAAGTGCATTTATTATTTTTGTCTGCAGGAGCTTGTAAAGCATTGCACCAGCGATCATCAGACTGCTGGTGCCATGCATGTCTCCTGCAGATCTGTCAAAACATCTGCTTGCTTGCATGGGATGTACGAGCAAGCAGATATACTGACAGGAAGAATCAATGAACTACCACAGCGCTCCACAGAGCAGTGGTAGTTCATTGAGGACAACAAGCTGACAGCCACTAAGGTTGTCGGGACTTGTAGGCTCTCATTCACAGAAGACTGTGAATGCGTGATGCAGCTGGGCAGGCGGAGCCCCGTACGGTCACATTTTTAAAAAAATTTTGACAGCTAGCCGGTTGGGGGGGGGGGGGGGTTATGTAAGATTCTCCGCTGTCAAAGTGGTGATCAGGGAGGAGCGGGTGCCAGTCTAATCATAACAGATTACACCCCGAATATATGAGTGTAACATGTTATGAAAGGTGAACTTATCCTTTAAAAGGTCAAACTCACAATAGCAGACAATGTGAACAATGCATTTTTTTCAGATATATTTATTATTCAAGCGAAGACAGTAAAAAACACAAAACTAATAATGGTCTCTCATGCCTCACTATTGCATAACAGTAATAAAAACATGTCTGGGCCTATATTGGGTACAATAAACCAAAATTGAATGAGATGTCAGCAAAATAGACAAGCAACATTAGAATCCCAACATCCCAGAGCTAAACTCATTTCATTAAATTGGAACCCAGGTGTGCAACCAATGACTCCAATTAGCTTTTGTTGAAGTAGTCTATGTGTTCACTTATTTTTTTCCTCCAACACTGTGAATGTTTTACTAGGTGTATTTAATAAAGACACTAGAAATTAGAACTGCAGGTGTGTTTCCAGCATAAGCATTCTGTGTTTGTCTATTGTTGTAACTTGAGGATCAGGTCACATTTTATGGCAAATTACTGCAGGAAACCAGTTAATTTCAAGGGGTTTCACAAACATTTTTTTGCCACTGTATATAGTTAAAGAATCCACAATAAGTACAGAGTAATACACAGATATTATTTAGTTATGGCTGGGTTTCTCAAAAGGTTTTTGAGGGGAGTAATTAGAGTTGGGTTTGTTAGGGACCCAAATTGTGTTTGGACAGTGTGTCAGAGTTGGCAATAGTAAAACAAAAAATTGGGTGGAAGACTGAAATCTTCTTGTAGTTGTTCGAGTGGCATAAAGGTTACAAAAATATTTGACACCTTGTGAAGACCATAACCGCGTGTCAGGAATAGAAAGTAATTCAGGGAAAGAATGGTTAGACCAAAATACAAGGCTTGACTTCCACCAATTGACTCAAAACCCTGAATAATCACCAAACTCCTCTATCTCATCCAGCAGGTGACACAAAGATGCATTAGGATCTGCTAGTTAAATTAAGGGTGTCATCTGCATACTGCAAAATACGTTCTTCCAAGGTACCTATGGTAAGGCCCATTACATTAGGCAAGATAAGAATATGGATGGCTAGGGGATCAATGGCCAAAGCAAATAACAGCAGCAAGAGAGGGCATCCTTACAGTGTACCACAGTCAGTTGGGAATGGAGTGGAGAGATGGGCATTCACTTGAACCTTTGCCTCTGGCTTAGTATAGAGGAGTCTGATTCAAGTAATTATGCGGGGGCTGAAGAAATAGACATGGCAAGCACTGAGGCAATGCCAATGGCTCGGAAACTCAAAAGCTCTTCACAGATAACTTAACAGAATAGAGTCTGGAAAGCACCCTACATTGTGGTCAAAGGTCACCATCAGGCAATGTCCAGTAAAGTGGGGGCCAAATATGGTACTCTGAAAGCCAGGCTGAGGAGGACCATGCTGCAAAATCGAAGATACAAAGCTCCAGCAGCAATGTAGAAAAAAAAAAGTATCATTTGATATCAATGATTGGGGGAAAAACAAAAAGGGTGCTACAAAGAAATAGTCACAACATAACGGAGCTGTAGAAAAGATGTTTATCTGGAATGCAACAGAAGTGCTCTAAAATAGCAACTGACTAGAATTTCAACTCTTCCATTGTTGGCTGCTCTTTATGTGACCCAGTTCTCTATATAGATTAGTACCCATTTTCTACAGCTCCTTCCTTTTCTACCTGTGATTCCATTATAATATATGCCTTCTTGGGAAATACTATAGGGATGGAGATGCTTTGTGAATAATGTAGCAACCAACCTACCAAAAGGGCCCCCCTCCCCCACTGCCTTCTCAGGCAGTCCCATGCCATCGGGGCAACCTGAGAGTGCAGCCGATGTTTCTGCCAGCTGACCATAGAGCTAATTGGAGACCAGAATGGTGCCAATCATCTTTATAGCCTAAAAAAATCGGAAGCTACGAGCATTTCATCACTTCAGTTTCACAGGATATAAACAGCGCCGTTCGTAAATTGGGAAAGCATCTGATCACACCGATCTTGGTGAGATTAGATAATGTAAGGGCAGAGGAGATATCTACAGTCTGAAAGACCCCAGATTTCTCAAAAAAGAAAATAAGACAATGCCCATTGAAGTTATAGGGAATATTTGCATTCCCTGTGATAGCATTAAAAGTGATAAAAAAAAATTAAGGGGACAGTGTAAAAATAATAATAATAAAAAAAAAAAAATCTAAATAACAAAAAAAAATAAAAATCTAAATAACAAAAAAAAAAAAAAAAAAAAAGTATCCTCGCCCCCCGTGCACGCGTGCATCTGTGTTTGTGAACGTTGTGAACGTTGACCCTGTGGCAGTATTGAAACAGCGGTTGCACCATGCATGTGAGGTATCGCCACAAATGTCAAATCAAGGGCAGTAATTCTAACACTAGACCTCCTCTGTAAATCTAAAATGGTAGCTTGTAAAGGCTTTTAAAAAACGTTGCCTATGGATATTAAAAACGTATGCAGTTTGTCGCCATTGCACAGGGCATGCGCAATATTTTGTGTTTTTGTGCGTTAAAAGTAAAACAAGTATATATTTTTTCTTTAAAATTGCAATTGAAAAATCGCTGCGCGAGTACTATGTGACATAAAAAATTGCAGCACCCACCATTTTATTCACTAGGGTGTTTGCTTTAAAAAAATATATAATGTTTGGGGTTTAAATTAATTTCCTAGTAAAAAAATACAGATTTTTTTTCATGTGAACAGTGTCAGAAAAGGCTTGGTCTTCAGGTGGTTAGAGGATTCAGTGACGTGTGGCATAAACTTCTAATGCTGGGCATAAAACGCCCCACCCCCCAAAACAACCCCTTTTTGGAAAGTAGACACCCCAAACTATTTGTGGAGAGGCATGTTGAATCAATCGAAGAATTTATTTTTTTACCACAAGCTTTTGGAAAATGACAAACAAATTTTTTTTTTACACAAAATTGTCACTTAAATGATTTACTGCTCACATATGCCATAGGTATATGTGGAAATACTCCCAAAAATACATTCTGCTACTTCTCCAGAGTATGGGGGTACCACATGTGAGAGACATTTTGGCAGTCTAGCCAAGTACAGGACCCCAAAATCCAATAAGCACTTCAGGCTTTTAAAGGGCTTTATTTCCTCATTACACTTCCTGACTACCTATCACAGTTTCTGAGGTTCTGAAATGCCAGGATAGCACCTAACCCCCCCAAATGCCCACTTGTTGGAAAGTAGACACCCCAAGGAATTTGATCAGAAGCATGGTGAGTATTTTGTAGATCTCGTTTGTTGCCACAAGTTTTTGAAAATTGAAGAAAAAAAAAACAAAATATATTTTTTCTTTTCTTTTTTTATATTTCAAAACCTTGTGAGAAAAAAATGAGATCTGCAAAATACTCATCATGCCTCTTTTTAAATTCCTTGGGGTGTCTACTTTCCAAAAAGGGGTCATTTGGGGAGGGGGGGGGGGGGGGG